AAATAAAGCTTACAGTCCAATAGAACACCGAGATCTTTAACACAATGGGAGCGTGCCACCAGGTTGTTACACAATTTGTAATTAAAGTAAATACTGTTTGTCTTTCGGGTGAATGATATAACAGTCGTTTTACTTAAATTAAGTTGCATCCCATTAACAAGACACTAATTTTGCACTGAATGGATGTCGTCCTGTAACAGTTTGCAGTCATCAACATCGCTAATACTCCGATATATCTTTAAGTCATCAGCAAATAAAAGGCACTGTGAGTTATGTATGGAGTCACAAATATCATTAATGAATATATTAAAAAGTAAAGGGCCTAGGGTGGAACCCTGAGGCACTCCACACTTAACATGATAAGGATACGAAAGAGTTCCAGATACACGAACAAAGGATTGCCTGTCAGAAAGATAACTATGGAACCAATCAACATAACTGGGTGATAGTCCAATTTTATTTTAATACTTCCATGTCTTATATATGACTTATTGAGTTTCTGACTATATTAGTTATTGAATGTCATTTATATACTGAGAGGTTTGCTGCTGTTGTGGATGTGCATGTACCCAACTCAGAATGAAGGAAATGTTACAAGGGACAGCTGTTATAAGTAATTAGTGCATGTCTTCAAGCAGTTTCCTTTCACATAACAGTTTTGTTGGAGGTTTTAATGGAAATGTAGGGAGAGAATATTTTTTCAGACCAACCAATGGGATTGAGATTTTACATTAAATCAGTAACAATAATGGGGTTATGTCAGAAAATATAATTGTCAAGAATACAGTATCCCACATCACAACATTTATAAATGCAGTTGGACTTTTCCTGATGGGAAGACAAAAATAAGATTGATCACATCTTACTAGGTAGAAGATGGCATTTAGGTGTAATAGCTATCTTATGTTTTAAATGATGTGACTGATACTGTTTGGAGAGACCATCATTAGGACAGTACAGAAAGTTTGATATGGAAAAATTTAATCTAAAGAAGCTAAACAATATGGAAGTTGGAAAAAAAGTGTCTTGTTAAATAATCTCAATAGGTTTACAGCTTTGGAAGACATGATAATATGAACATCAATATGGCATGATAAAATATCAGAAGTAATATAAAAATACAGACATTTTTGTGTATGTTTTTGTAATTTATTATAAATATTGTATAGTTTTCATCATTCTTGAATGTTATAAGCTAAAAAGCCGTAAAAACTAATAAGGAAATAAGAGATGCAGTAAGTGTATCATCACATTCAGTTCAAAAGGCATATTTCTGTCGCAAGATCTGTTAGGGATACAAACCGTATCAACAATTACTGCTTCTGCTTTAAGCATCCTTGGATTTGCATGCAACTTTTGTAAACTTCCTAATGTGGTAGAGGACTGTATAGTATTTGAAGATTATAACTAACTCGACAGAGCAAAGTTCTTCTTGAGAAACTAATAATATTCTCAACCAATCAAGAAAGTCATCTGTTACAGAATTTAAAGGTTCATTACTGTGTTTACAGGAACCCACCTCTAGATGCTTCCCTGAGCCAGATGTATCCAGTCCACACCCCTGAAACCTATTTATCTTCAATCTATTTTGATATTCTTGTCCCATCTGTGCTTATGCTTTGTATTTAGTCTCTTCTATTAATAGCTTGTATTTCTTTTGTAGGTTAAAACAATGCGTGGATAGCAATGGGAAGCAACTTATTTTCATAGTAAAGAAGGGTACTGACTCGACTCTTCTTTGGAAGGGTACGGTGAGAATTGCGTGTGTTAAATTGAATCCACTTACAAATAAAGTTGATACATACAGACTATTAAACCTCAGTGAATTTTTGAAGGTGAGTTAAATGTACTTGTCTCACATAAACCCATTATAGCATTACTTCTCTCTGATTCCCAGTAGTAAGAAGGCTGTGGAGTCAGAGTTGGAAGCAATTTTAGGTGGAGTCAGTAAAAATGTACCGACTCCGACTCCTACCTCAATATAAAATCTTAAAAAATACTATTTTAACACTTCGCTACTGTGTGAGCCGCCGGCGGCCTCAGCAGATTCAACGACGCGCTGAGCCACATGGTGTGGGAATAATGCTTTGTAACGTTGGCTCCGGTACCTTAAGAATACAAACTGTCTACAATCAACTAATTTCTGCAAAAACCATTAGACTTATATTTAATTATAGGTTATAATTCTAAAAAGTAGCCTGATGATTCACGTGGTGGTGATGAAATCTCTTATGGTACCATTTAGCATTTTAGTAGGTTCATTATTATAAATGCATATTGAGCTTTTATGAAGGAGTCAGAGTTGGAGGTTTTAGTACCGACTCCACAGCCCTGGTAGCAAGATCAGCCTTTAACAGTTGAGTTTTATATTTCTTGCTGCAAGTGTTTTTAGTGAGTGTTTGTGGATTAACAGTTTTTATTGATAGATATGGTCCTAGAATAACAGGGATGAAGTGGCCTGGAATTTTATGATTTTTTTACTTATTTAATGGCTTTCACAGTTACATAGATTTTATAGTGTTATGTGGGAGGATGATTAAGCGAGCTGAGTAAGAAAGCAATCATAGCATTGAGTTTGCTTGAAAGGAATGAGGAAAACCATGAAAAGGATTTCTGGCATCAGGGCTTAGAATCAAATTAAGGATTTCCTGAATAAGATGTAAGAGTGCTAATCACTCAGATATGATATTTGATAATTTTATTTCTTATGAAGATGTTGTGAAACAGAAGTTTTGCTATCTATTGTTTTAGGTTTTCAGAACGTTACAATGTCAACTGGCAGCTGCACGACAGAGTTCACTGAATTCCTCCAGCAGTGAAGCATCGGCCAGCATCACAGGGGGCACCTCATTACCATCATTGATGGACCAGAATCTTCTGACAGCAACAATGTTGTTTGAAGAAGTGGAGAGTTCGGCAGGATGCTACAGTGGGACTGGTGAACGACTCAATGAATGTTGCATATGTCTAGAAAGGAAACCAGATGTGATGCTTCCATGTGCACACAGCTACTGTATGCCATGCATAGAACAGTGGTAAGTACTTACTAATCAGTAATCGGGAATTTACATCAAGACCTGCATGCATTTCTACATCTGGATGTGACCTTGAAACTGCTTGAAGGAATTCCTAGCCAGATGGATGCCAAACATGTATCCATGCAAAAGTCATTGACCCCAGAAAACTCTGACTTACCTGGTGTCTAGCATTTGAGATTTTAATGGCAGTGAGTGTGACGAATCACACAAATTTTTTGGTTTCCCAGTGCATATAAAAGTTATGTAACACTATACTGTAGTCTGTTAAGTGTGCAATAGCATTATGTCTAAAAAAAACAATGCGAGAATTACCAAAATGTGACACAGAGACATGAAGTGAGCACATGCTGTTGGAAAAATGGCGCTAATAGACTTGCTTGACACAGGGTTGCCACAAACCTTCAATTTGTAAAAAACCGCTATATCTGTGAATCGCAATAAAACGAGGTATGCCTATATTGTGTACTGGATATTATTTTAATCTTTATTTTATTCTTCCTTATTTGGTTTATGCCCATTTGACCTGTTTCTAGATTATACAGACTGTTCAAATCATCTTATTTGTGCTCTTCCTAAATCCTTCTTCCCTTGAGGTCTGTTGTTGAAAACTCTTCTTGGTAATTTATAGTTTGGCATCCTTCGAACATGACCTCCACTTCTCTTAGTATTTCTTAATGTTGTCATTCTATTTATACTTGCTTTGCTGTCTGTCTATTAAAGTTACACTTTTAAATCCACTTAAATATCTCATTGTGTTGTTTCAGTCCTCTGCTTAATCCTTAAATCCAAGGGTTCATCATTTCCTTCCATACAATAAGTTTGTTTGTGAAACCACATAATGAAATACTAATTGGAGTTTTTTTTACTCCTTGATCTATTGTAATGTATCTGCAGTGAACCATTTTGTTACATTTTCTTCTAAATCCTAATTATTTTTATACTAGACATCCAACAAATTAATTATTTTAATTTTTTTACTTGTTTCAGACTCTTTCATTTGCTATGTTCTGTTACTGTATTCTGAATTAATTACTAGGCTTTTAATTTGTTGTATTCAGTTCGTCATCTTTGTGCACGGGCAGGTCATATTTATTTTATATAAGATGTAATAGTGAAGATCATTAAAAAACATCTTTGGCGTAACAGCTCCAGAGAGCCAAAGCCGACTAACTTGACTGCTGGCCTCACGTTCACATTCCTAAGTAGAGGTGAACGATCATCCAATCAGATGTAGGGTGACGTGTGGTCAGCACGACGAACCCCCAGCCATTGCTAGCTTTCCTGACCGGATTACGCTACCCATTGTAGCTCCCCAATTTCCTCACGATGCTGGGTTGGCACTGGTCCCATACACTGATGCGAAGATCATTATTGGACAAAATTTTCAGCCAGTTCCATCCAGCTCCCCCCTTACAGTCTCTCTCCATAAAATCTATTTTAATGGAATCCTTACATGTCTTGATCTTCTAAGTTACTTCTTTCCAAGCAATTTTCCCACCCATTAGTGTGTATGTATGACTTAATTAAATTATTTAAAATTTTGTAATTAGATTTTTGTACCTCTTCCTAAAATCTGTTAATTTCTATACAGACATATAATGATCTATCTAGAATGTACTGAAATATAAATTGGTGTTTACAGGAATGTAAACAATAAGACCTGCCCCATTTGTCGTGAGACACTAGACAGCACCGATGATACGTGGGTGATATCAGAAGTCCCAGGTTCCCACGAGATAAGTGAAGAGATATTCTGCTCTCTCATGGATCTGGCTGCATCATCAGCTACGACTCCAACTTAGCATGCTATGAGTAACTTCAATCTTCACCATGTACAATGTTTCTGCATTTGTAACTTTGTCAGATCATGGAGTTATCTATTGGTGTTTGCAGCCAGAGAATCAACATTCATTTCAAGTCTGTGCTGTGTCTGCTACTACCAATATATTAGTGTCTCAGATTTTGTAGTTCGAGTTAAGGAATTTGCAGTAGAATTTGAAACATAAATACCATATTTCTAAAAATCCAAAGATGCCCTCAATAATGACATAAAAATGGATGAAATGTTTGCATTTTATTTTACCGTTAATAATTGTTTGGGGTTACGTCATGTTTTACAGTAAACGTCTGATGCTGTTGAGGAACTTAACAATTTTCACCTTTTTGTATCCTGACGTGACCGTATTAGCTTCTCTGTTGTACATACAGAATGTGGGTGTAATGGCAGGTGTACTCTTCATTGTGTTTAGAATAATGTAGTTTAATATTTCATGGTTAAATTAGTGCTTGAGAGAAATCTGTGGATTTGTGATGTAAGCAGGCACATGTCAGGGACTTAGTAACTAAGGTACTTGTAGTGATTACTCAAATTATAATTTTGTCCACATTGGTAATTATTGTATTTTGAGTTATGATTCAAAAACAAGGTATCTGTCCCACTACATACTATAATATTTTTCAGTGAAATTGGTGGCTGAGTCCAGTTCTGGTCTTTGTAAGTGACCAGTCGGCGCAAAGAAAGTCTGTTGGTAAGTAGCTAGACCTCAGTCTGTTCAGAAACCGCGTGATAGAAGCATCGACAGCCGCACTGTGTTATTGCCAGTTCTCATGTGTCCTTTCCATTGTGTTGTAACCATTCACTAGAAACCAATGTTCCACGATGCTATATCTGGCCCTACTGTATGTTGTTTCCTCACTTTCTTGCCGCTCTGCCTCCGACCTTTACTTCCTACCAAGGCACAGTACATGTGATTGGTGCACGCTTCAGCTGCCAGTTCCGCCGAAAACTGTTATAGTTGTATGTACATGAACTTGTCAGAAATGTAAGTATTATTTATTGGTAGCTATACATTTTATATATTTAATATGGATTTAAAGACATTGATATCTTTTAATGTCTTTCTGCAATTAGAGTCAGAGATGCACTCTCTACCTCCAAAATGTTTAGGCAAGATATACAGAATTGTAGACTAAAATTCAATTCTAAAGGGTTTTGACGACGGTAGTTTACACTAAAAATTATTTGTTGTCAGGACTTTTTCCATCGTCTGTTTTTAAAATTCACGACGTTTCGGAGGCTGGTTCTGTCATACCCATACTTGGGTGGATAGGTTGAAATAACTGCATGAATTATATTGTCCAGTGAGAGAGTGCGTATAATAAGACAGCTTTTATGAATGCCATGTAGGTCATCGTAGTTCCCATAGTACTACACATCCAAACAAAATCATCATCATCATCATTCAAACTAAGTAACACAAGATTGTATTGAGGCAGCAAGTTCCTCCAATGTGTTGGACGTTTATTGCAAGAACGTGGTGCTGAACCAAAAGATGTTTTATAATTTAATCAATGTTGCCATAAAAACCTCAATATATAAAGTACAATCATATACATTGTGTTTGTTACATCATATTTTTACATAGCTGCAGAATTTTATTCATTCTGTGTAATTTGCTTACATGACTTTAACATTTCTATGATCTCGTTAGAAATGGATTACAAAATCGTCATGTGTTCTGCATTACTTTGCATTTACCATAAACATAAACTTTAGCCAATGTAATGTCTTCTTTTTCCAGTAAAGCACCTCACATTTCCTGAAAGGAAAGATGATCGTAAGATTATTAAATACTTTCTTTTATTTCATACAATTTATTAGAGGTAAAGTTAAGTCTACATGAACCGGGATAGCTCAGTCAGTATAGTGACTAGCTACAGGCTGGACGACCGGGGTTCGATCCCCGACGGGGGCAGAGGATTTTTCCTCTAGCCTCTGTGTCCAGACCGGCTCTGGGGCCCACTCAGCCTCCTCTACAATGGGTACCGGGGTCCTTTCCCGGGGGTAAAGCCGGCCGGGGCGTGTTGCTGACCACTCACCCCATCTAGTGCTGAGGTCAAGAAAGGGAGGAGCTATGCCTCCACTCACCCCAAGCGCCTGTATGGCACGTAGCGGGACAAACTTTACTTTACGTTTACTACTGATAACTTAAAACATTGATAAAACTTGAATATTTTCAAAAATTTTGAAAATTTTAGAAATGGATATAAATGCCGTGAAAATCAAAAATAACCAAAAAATTTCGAAAAATCTGGAAATTTTTTTTTTGGAATTTTTCAGATTTTCTTAGTTTTCTGTGCGTTTTGAGCATTTTTCAGCATTTTTTGATTTTACGAAAATTTCGTAAAATTACAAATTTTCTTCAAAATTCTCTCCCATCGGTCGCTACTAGACCCCGTATCTAGACGACGCTGTCTCTGCCGCACCCAGTCTCTGTACGAATCGTTCATACTGTGCCCCGACATTTAACAGGCCGACTCTGCAAGGATCTATTTCGACAGACGGTGAAGCATGTCAACACAGACAGGCCGTCTCTATATAGACCTCGTTCGACAGACGGAGAGGCACAGAAGTAGTCAAGCAGAGATCGTATGAGGCAGAGACCCTGCATGGCACAGGCCGGGATAGCAAACGTTGGGTGAAGAACAGACTGTCAGCAGAGCCGGGAGAAGCACAGAGCGAATGTGGTTGAATCTGTGAGGCTAATACAGTCAGGCAGAGACTGTAAGCAGGATAGAACACTTCTGATAGGGGTCGTTTATATAAAGCTTGGAAAAAATGTCGAAAAATCAAAACGCCATGTAAATTCTCTCAAACGCGCACAAAACCAAAAAATTTCGAAAATATTCAAAAAAAGTTATAGTGGAACCACGGTTCCGGAGAATTAGACGTAAATACGTCTATACAGAAAGGAAGTTTATATATTGGCTTTATTCTAAATATTTCCTTTATACCCGCTTTACAATTGAGTAAAATTTGATTAAGACTTTGCTTATTTAACTTGAATTAGTTACGCTTAAGATGGGTGTGTAGTAGCTGAATGTAATGTAAAGTAATGAAATGTAAGGTAAGGTAATGTAATGAAATCTTTTATAGATAACAACAATGCCGAGAAAGCAATTGACGTTTGCTAGGTAACATAATGCAGTTACACTTTTTGCCGAATGACACTGACCCTAAAATATAGACCTATTTACGTCAAAAAAATTGAAGATGGAATTTTTGATTTTTTTTTGTTTGCGCTTTTTGGGCAATTTCCAGAATATTTTGATTTTTCGAAAGTTATCAAAAAATTTTGGAACCACCAACCGGCCTCTGCAAGTCCGTGTCTGCCGCACCTGGGCTTCTCAGAGACGGCACGTAACAGCCCTGTCATACAGAGACTGGTCCGTGCAGAGACCGAGACGGGCACAGACCGCATTCGTCAGAGACACAGTACATCAGAAACAGTCCGAGAGACACCGGTTCTGAAAGACATCAGGTGGTGGAATTTTGAAAAATTACAAAATTTTCAAAAAATCAATAAGTGCTGTAAATTGTCCGAAATGCGCACAAAACCAACAAAATTTGAAAAATTTCACATTCAAAATTTTCAAAAAAATTTGGTTTTGTCCGCCTTTCAGACAATTTCCAGCATTGTTTGATTTTTCGAAAAGTTTGAAAATTTGAATAATTTTTTCTAAACTCTCCCCTAGAGATGCATGCCAAAATCGTTGAATGCCTCATCCTGTCTCTGTCGCACTCGGCCTCTATCACACCCGGTGTCTGCACCAACCGGAATCTTCAATACTCGGTCTCAGCAGGTCCGTGTCTGCCTCACGTGTTGTCTGCCGCACCTGGGTTTCTCAGAGACAGTCAGAACCGTGTCATACAGAGACCGGTCCGTGCAGAGACCGAGACAGGCACAGACCGCATTCGTCAGAGAGACAGTACATCAGAAACAGTCTGAGAGACACCGGTTCTGCAAGGCATCAGGTGGTAAAATTTTGAAAAATTTTCAAAAAATCAAAAAGTGCTGGAAATTGTCCGAAATGCGCACAAAATCAAGAAAATGTGAAAAATTTCACTTTCAAATTTTTTTCAAATTTTTCAAAAAAATATTGGTTTTGTGCGCTTTTCAAACAATTTCCTGCATTTTTTCATTTTTCAAAAATTTTGAAAAATTTGAATATTTTTTTCTAAACTCTCCCCTAGAGATGTATGCCAAACTCATTGAATGCCTCATTCTGTCTCTCTCAGACTCGAACTCTACCACACCCGGTTGCTGCCTGCCACGGTGTCTGCACCAACCGGCCTCTTCAATACTCGGTCTCTGCATGACCGTGTCTGCCTCACGTCTTGTTTGCCGCACCTGGACTTCTCAGAGACGACACGTCAGAGCCGTGTCATATACAGACCGGTCCGTGCAGCGACCGAGACAGGCACACACCGCATTTGTCAGATATACAATACATCAGAAACAGTCCGAGAGACACCGGCTCTGCAGCACATCAGTTGGTGGAATTTTGAAAAATTTCAAAATTTTCAAAAAATCAAAAAATGCTGGAAATTATCCGAAATGCGCACAAAACAAAGAAAATTTAAAAATAATTTGAAAGTAGAATTCTTCAAATTTTTTGGTTTTGTGCGTTTCTTGGACAAATTCCAGCATTTTTCGATT